GTGTGTATGTGTATGTATGTATGTATGAAAATAAAGTTTATGCCACTGAAATATTTAAACGTTTCTAAAATGACATAAAAACTCTGCAGTCAATCCTCCTTTTAATCGGTTTTACTGAACCTGACGATGATCCTGAAACTAACCGCTGTTCTTTCAAACCTGCCCAACAGTTTTCAGTTACCTGATTTAAACAGAATATTTTAGTACTTGCCAAAAGCCAACAGTGACCTTATGACCAGTGTTTTTGTTTGTTTGTTTTCCTGGATGGCTTTTCTTTATGGGTGAAACCTCAAAGAGACAAATCTAAATAGTGTTAGAAGCACAGTTTCCTCCCTCACACCACTAACCCTCTCCATCTGCTGCCCTTCTCTCTCTCCTGGCGTCTCTCATCACTCTTTATTTCTGAACACCCACTGAATTTGAATCTCACACTCTTTTCATCTCTTTCCATCTCTCTGCACCCCGTTTGACTTTGAGCTCTCATTGCATTTCTCCAGCATCTGTCCATTCTCCACACAAAGCGTACGCTTTCTCCAGCTCACATCCGCGTCAGCCCGAGTAACAAAAACATCCTCGTTTAGCTCCCTGACACAGTCTCAGCGTACGCTGAACTTTCCTGGCTTACTGTAATTTCCTTTAATAATCTGCAATAAAGGAAACACTCAAATTTAAAGAGAATAACAATTTTTCTTCTTAGATATTATAATTATTCTGATATGAGCACCGAGGAGCCGCAGCAGAGTTTTCTCAGACAGGCTTTGGATCTCTTTTACAGACTTCATTAGACTGTGATTGGGACACTGCTCACTGGGACACGTCAAAGTTATGCTCGGCTTCCCTGATGCCCCGAAACAAAGGACCTGTTCTGTGAGCTTATTCTCCTGCTTGTGTTGCTTTTAATAGGACACAAATCAGAAATAAATGAGCCATTGCTCAGTCTAACACACAAAGACTGCAGTTGTGTCGACTCATGGTGTCATTAATGTGATGCAGTTATAGTAAAAGTGTGATAGGACTCCAACAAAACCCACCGTACATCAGAACTGCTCAAACAGACCTTTGGATTTAGAGATTTTGGGAGATTGCTGAGCTCAGTCGGCAGTCTGTACAGAGCAGACCTGCAGTAGGTACATGCACAGAAAATAAAGCTGAGGTACAGAGGAGTGGGAGTGGGCCTTTTTGCTTATGGTCTGTAGATGAGATGATACAGGACCCAGAAAAGTTTTACAGTAGTTATGTCTGCGTGACACAGTAGGTCACACCTGAGTATTCAGCACGCAATTCTGCACCATGATAGACGTAATCATCAAGACAGAAGCTTCTTATTTCACTACATTTTGTGAGTCTGTTTTGTGAGACTTTTGCTGCCACTAAGCTCCTGCCTGTCGTGCCCTGCCAGGCTGCGTGTCCCTTTTCCCAGCGTGATGACATGGTGTGCTGCACTGCAGGGCCAAGGTGTCTGGAGAGTTGCCTGAGTGGCGACACAGCATGCTCTTTCCCTGTTGTTAGTCACATGGCAGGACTGAAGCACAAGCTAAATAGACACTATGACTCAGTCCAGAGGGATATTCATCCGTTTGCTATTACCTTCACTGCTGAAGATGAGTCCAAATGCAGCACAGCCCAGTGCTCACATCTCTAAGACACACGGCATTACAACAAATCCTTACAAGAGGATTCTCTTCTTTTTTGTGCAGGCACAATTGGCCGTATCATGACCAATGAGAGCAAAGAGTAATGGACTCTTTTCTGGAACCACTCAAGGAAATCAAAGCATCAAAGTTTAAGTCCTGTGCAATATCACCGAGGCTCAGAAAGTATAGCAGCACAGCGGCCTCTCCTCTGTTAAAGCTCGCAGTTCTGAGCCAGCTCAGGTCTTGTACTGCCTAAGAATGACCTCCAGCTCTGCCTTTACCACTATTAGATTTAGTTTTTATTTTATATATATACACACACATATACATATATATATACATACATACTAGGGGTGCAACGACAAAATTCACAGTTCGATATTTTTTCGATACAAAAAAATGTTCATGCTTTTTTAATTTGTCATTTATTAAAATTATAAATATATATTTTA